GCATCAAAACATCCCCCACCCCTGTACCGGAGTCATCACATTCAATCATAAATGGAAGAGAAAAATCTGGGGTTGCAAGAACAGGAGAGGTTACTGCCGCTTTTAATGCCTCAAAAGCTGATTGGGCAGGTTGCGACCATTGAAATCGGGCTAAAGATTTTTTCTTCAATAAGGCAGTAAAAGGCTGCGCAATCTTACCATAATCCCGAATAAACCGACGGTAGTAGCCAGTGAGTCCCAAGAATCCCCTGACAGCCTTGAAAGACTGTGGTTGGGGCCAACGAAGCACACTGCTGATCGTTGAAGGGTCCATAGCCACCCCGAATTGGGATACAATATGCCCAAGATATTCTACTGATGTTTTTCCAAAACTGCGCTTTTTTCATTTGCCTTGAACTGATTGAGCTTCAGGATGCCCATCACCACCATAAGATGTTGCAAATGGTCTTCCCACGTCGCACTATATATTAATATGTCATAAAAAAACGAGGACAAAGCCGAAGGTATGGATGAAAAATGTCATTCATAATTTGCTGAAAAGTGGCTAGTGCGTTCATCAATCCGAAAGGCATGACTAGGAACTCGTAGTGGCTTGAGTGAGTACAGAACGCTGTTTTTGGCACATCTTGAGGAGCCACTCGAATTTGATGATAGCCCGAACGAAGGTCAATTTTGGAGAAATATCGGGCGCCGTGGAGCTCATCCAACATCTCTCGTATGACTGGAATGGGATATTTATTCGGCACCGTAGCTTTGTTTAATTCTCGGTAGTCAACACAAAACCTCCAACTCCCATCTTTTTTCTTGACCAAGAGAACTGGGCTGGAAAACGGGCTAGAGCTGGGTTGTATAATACCCGCAAGCAACATGTCTTCCACTAACCGTTCAATTACATTTTTTTGACTATGCCCATACCGGTATGGCTTAACACTGACTGGAGTTATTCCATCCTTCGGAATGATCTGATGGTCATGTAGTCGTGAATGGGGAAGATCATGTGGCTCGCCAAACACTTGGTAGTGAGTATGTAAAAATGTTGTTAATTGAGTTTGTTGAGCCAAGGAGATATCACTACCTTCATAATTTGAGAGAGACATGCCATCCAAAATCCAAAGGAGGTAGCGAGTATCGATGTGAGTCATGCGCTCCAGAGAATTGAACGTTATGGGTAGGCGAGACAGAGATGGGTCACCAACCAGTTGCACTAATTGGTCATCCACCTTAAATGTTAAAATCTGCTTGGCAAAATTCGCAGTTACATCCCCCAAAGTCTCCAACCAAGCCATCCCAAGGATGATGTCAACGCTGCCCAATGGAAACAAATAGCAATCTAAGGACATTGTAACCGGTCCCAAATTGATTGGCAACTGTGAGTATTTACCAGATGATTGTTCTTGTTTGCCATCTCCTAATCGTACTCCGAAGCGATGTGTAGCGTTCAAGGGATTATTGATGTGGTCCTTTAATTTCTCAGAGATGAAGTTGTGGCTAGCTCCACTGTCAACCATGACAACCACCTCCTGGTTTGCGACCCAACCCAAAAACTTCAGTGTTTTTGGGTCCGTTGATACCTCCAAGTGCTGTCAATGGCAGATCACAGAGAAAAATTTGGGACACGTCTGCCGGCGGGTGATCAACCTCTGGGTAGTCGGTCGGGTTCACCTCTTTGGAAAGTTCATCTTCATCGTCCTCAAAAGTGAGGATCTGGAGCGATTTATTTGGACAGACGTGCATTGGACTATATTGCTGTTTACAACGAAAACATTGTCCTTTGGCCCGCATGTCCAAACATTCATGGTTGCTGAAACGGCGAACTGGTTTTGGCGCAGAGGGCTGCCCTTGGTGTCGAAGAGTAGGAGAAAATGTTGCGTTGGGCCGTGTGATGAAGTGGTGTGGACCCCTGGATGCTTTTCAGGCTGAGAAGTGGTGGATCTATCAGACCTGGGCTTTGGGTAAAACAAGGAAGACTGTTTAGTTGGGCCATATGGTGTTCTCCCATCAATCCTGCCTTGCCCAACATCGGAAGACCAGTTTATTTTAATTTCCTTAGCGTTGTTGAAGCCGCCCATGAGGCGACTTGTTGCCGAAAATAGCAACTCCCGGTCCACCGCTTTTGCGACATTCATGGCTGTCCGGAGATCAATCACGTCACTTGGCCTGAATTTTACACGAATTTCAGGTTTAAGAGCATTTAGGTATAATCCCAATTGAGCATGTGGTGCGAGGCCAGGGATTTGTGCTAACCGAGCCCGGAACTCGTTGGTGAAATCAGCAACTGTATCTTCCTGGCGAAGTGCTGCCAACTATTCAAACAGGGGGCCGGACAGTTTACCGTCAAATTCTTCGAGCAGTTCGCTCTTGAATTGCACCCACGAGAGCAGGGGATTGTGTTGCTGAAGCCATTGAAGCCGATGCAAAGCAGGGCCCTCCATGCTAACGAAAGCCGTCACCGCTTTCAAATCCTCTCGAGTACAGTGAATGGCAAAGAATTGTTCTGCCCGTGCTAGCCACCCCATGGGATCTGTACCAGAGAATATTGGTAATCTGATATGGTTAGGATTTGACAATCATCTAGAGACGTGGCTCGAGTATGGGGATTGGTGTCTGTGGACTTCTCCTTGGATGAATCCAGGGTGGAAGCATCCGGGGTGATAGTGCTGGAGTCAAACTGTCCTTTGGCAAGCGACGATTGACTCAGTAACCCAGTTAAATAGGAAAGGGATTCCTGGATACTGAGGAATTGCTGATTGACTTCTGTTCGGAATGCATCCTGGCTCTTCTCTAACGCTTCGACTCGTTCATCCATGCGGGTTGCTGGCATCGTCAAGCGGCAGGTCGGACCAACTTGATAGAGTAAAGAGACAGGATGGACTTAAATCACGATAGCAATACTTTATTCTTTATTCTGGAAGTGAAAAGAAATGACAATGACAAGGTATACCTAGAAGGTAACCTCCAACAGAGATGAACCTCTGCCCAACTATTCTAGATTATTGTAATGACTCCCGATACGGTCCTCTTCTAGTCTAGGACCTTATTTATAATAGATTATTCTGCATAAATAAAGTAAGTGTATCAATATAAATGTCCCATCCCTTAAATTGTGCTACTGTAGCCATTAATGATTAATCCCACTAATTGTGCTCTTCTTTTTATTATGTCTCCTCATTGATTTGCTCCTGATTTGTTCCCATAAACCTTTGTTTGCCTTTCCTTTTCCTAGAATATACTATCCACCCACTTGCACGTGTATCAGAGGACGAGGTTATTTTGAAGGAGGATGGATTGATAGAGAGCAGGAAGAGCATGGAGCAGGAACGGGCTTGGGCCCACTTCCGTGGGCCGGTTATGGGATGGGATTAGAGTTTTATTTATTATTATAAAGTTTATGTTATGTTTTAGTTTGGGCCTATTATTAGTAGAGTATTAGTAGAGTTAGTATGAGCTTAATTAGGATTTAATGAATTTGGGCTCGATTAGGGTTTCCATTGAGTCTCTTACTAGAAGGCTATTTATACCCCTTGCCAGGGTTCATTATATATCATCTTGGAATAGAATTGGATTTCAGCCTTTTGGCTCTGTGCAACGATTTATATCGTTGATTATCTGGGCAACGGTTTACCCCGTTGATTTTTATTTTTCTGTTCACAACAGCCTAATTTTGGGGGTGTTTGGAACTGATTTTGCTTCTGCTTCTTTTTTAATGCAGAAGCAGATTCAGAATCAGTTTTCAGAAGCTGGTCACCCCAGCTTCTAAAAAAAACTGATTTTAGGAGTAAATTAGAGCACCAGAATCACTTGTGCACTTTCACCCAAACACTCCAACTTCTCCTTCTGCTCCCTGAAGGAGCAAAAGCAGTTTTAAGAATCAGATCCAAACACCCCCTTTATCCATCCATCACTCGGGTCTCATGTACTTAAGACTTAAGATGCTTCATGCTTGAAAGGAGTATGGTTCTTGTTAATTGTTATAATTCATGCTCCATGGATTCATCATGCAGAGGCTCCAAGTGTTGGATTAACTTCATACTCTATTGCCCTATAACCTGGGGATCTATTATTACTAAAAGGGCCTAACCAATTTGGTTGCCTCTTTCCATCAAGTACAATATTTCTTCTGTCTCAGTTGTGTCAATATGTATCGTCCTTTTTTTGCTCTAACACTCTTGTCGAATTAGGTTTGATCTAGTTGTGACTTACCTTTCTCCATTACTTTCATCTATGGGCTCCACATGTCTTTTCCAAGTTGCGCCTTTATTTTATCCTTATGAGCCACTGGTGTCATTGGGCATGTTAGGGCACTGAACTGTGCCACATTTTCAGAGTTTTAAATATGAAGCACATAAGTTCTTTGGGTATAATGTTTCCATGACTTGATAACATATATAGAACATTATGGAAACCTTTTGCCATTTTTTGGTTAAAAATGACATTTCCACCCTCTGTTTCACGAGCTTGCTTATCTGTGCATCATTTGAATGTAGGCTCCATCAGCTCATCATGCTTGAGCTTGAAGCTTTGGGTTAAGTCCATACTCAATAGGCCTATAGCCTAGAGACCAAAAGGCAGCCAATTTGGTTTGGTCTCATCAATTTGATGATGCCTTGATGATTCTCATGTCACATATGCTATAACTAAGAAGTGCTGTGCTATACCTTACCTACTTTATACATGGCAATCAAATTTTTTCATGCCTGCTAAAAAATGTGATGCTCTACAGTCAATTTTTATTTTTTTTAACAAAATGTGTAAATCTGTTTGCTGTATATAATTGTTCATTAGATAATGCATTTTATTTACACCTCTCATGAAAACCATTCAAAAAAAAATTGTGCCTATTTTGGCAAGTGCCCAGCAACTTTTGCTATTATTATTTTCTGGCCATCTTTTGTGAAATTTTACTTGCTAAAAAAGGTCACATTTTTATCTGTTTAATTCCCACTCGGAAGGTGTTTACTAAGGGAATAATATGACCCTCATGTTGCGATTCTCTTGATTAGGATTGAACGATTGGAATTATTTGATGAGTTTGAAGAATGGCACCTGATGCAGGTAATTCTTTCTTTGTGACTCTAGTCTTAGGTAAAAGCAGAAGCAATGTGCTGGTCCCATATCTAACGTGGCGAGTGTGCATGCTTGATTCTCATTTATCTATTAGGATAAACTCGAGGGGTACTCTATCATTGTATATGTTTTCTTGGGGCCTTTAATTTCAGGATCATTGATTGTTCATGTTTTTCCATTCGTGAAACTATAAACTTAGTGCCGGTCTATCTCTTATATTTTGGGGGTTCGAAATCACATTAAAACTACAATTTCAAATGATAGTATGGAGCATTCATTTATGAAAGAATTATGCCCTTTTGTCATTCCAATAAAAAACTACGAAATGGCCAGCACAGTATACACTCATGTTTTTCAATAGTTTGTTTTGCACCAGTCGAAAGAATTCTCAGACACATACGTTTCAATAAGAAAAACACTAATTGAATTCTAACATTTCTTCGAACGAGAGCAATTTGAAATTAGGGAATAAGGAATGAAATATATCTTCCAATTGAAATAAGCAATTTCCTTCGAACGAGAGCAACAAACTAGCAACACTATAGTCCGCACCAAGGCATGCACTAGTATTTGAACGCTTATTTTTCTAGCACAAGACATAATAAGCAGTGATGGTTACTGTTTTTTAAAAAATCAGGTTGTTCAAGTGAATACTCTTGAACAACAGTGGATCCGCCACTGGAGACCATAATATCAAATCAGTTTTCTTATGATGCATGGAACTGGATTTCATTACGTAATAAATATGTGGTTAAAGTTATTTCTCTCCCTTCTACACAAATTTCAACCACACAATTTTTTACATTATTATTATTCTACATGCAAGTCAAACTCGACCAAATTTTGTGGGACAGATAGAGTAATATATTAATATAATAGCAATAAGAAGTCGATAAAGTGATAAGTGAATAACAAATAAAAACAAATAGCTGGAGATGTAGCAAAGGTTTTCTTCAACCTTGCGACGCAGCAGTCGCAGGTCATCTTCAACCTTGTGAATGAGTTGTGAACGCAACAGAGAAGGTAGCGACTAGCGATGCTTCGAGATTAGTAGTCATAGGTTGTCCTTTGAGTTCTAGACTTTGAAAGTTTCGGTTCCTTTGTTTATAATCAAGTTACTTTCTAAAACTCCAAATTAGTTTCTAAATAACTACTTTTGTAATTTATTTTTTTTATTATTGCTCTCTAGATATTATCTTGATTGTTGCTTGTATCTCAATATAAACCTTTTTCCATTAAAAAATCTTTTTTTTGACTAGACTTCTAAAATGAATTTATTGAGATTTTAATCTCCCTTGGCGTGACTCCTCAATTGTACCTGGATGATAGGTCTGCCCCTGGACGACGCTAGAGGCGATTTATCTTCTTCTGGAGAGTCGACCTTCTCTATTGACCCTTATCCATTGCCAAAACGCCTAGACAACACCTTGATGACCTTGGTTGACACAGTGATCTCTAAAAGTTTTTTTTTTTCATTTTTTCCAGATGGATTGTACTAGATTTAGAGTAAAATTGTTAAGCATTTTATCGGGTCTGGTCTGTTTAAGCATAAGCATGAAAGAAAGATTATCAATGTTTTTTTAAGAATCTTGCCCATTGTGCGATCCATTGATAAAATATACAGACTCTGAATCTTGCCCATTGTGCGATCCATTAATAATCCATGGATATGGAATGTTTTTTTTTTGTTTTTTTTTCAGAGTCTGTATATTTTATCTGGTTTGGTCTGTTTAAGCATGGTTTGTTTAAGTTTGTTTTGTTCTGGTTTTGAGACTGAAGCCGATTCAAGTAAAAGCATTTTTAAGCACTGATTATTTTTGAAGAAGCACTGCGTGATACTTTTCCTGCAATTGCATTCTTTTAGGAGCACTACTGTGTCGCGTATGCCATCAATGATTTGCTGGTATGCATTTACCATATACTGAGTACACTTTGTTCTCATTAAAATGCTTAACATTTTTACTGCATGGAATCATACTCATTGTATGATTGGGATTGCTTCAGGGAATGTTCAAGGACTTTGGCTTCCCTAATGTCCAACCTCAGATAGGCGCTTCAACTGCTACATCCTTTTGAAGAATGCAATGGTTACCAGCTTTCAAAGCATTTTTACCCATCTCTGATGTTTATCAAAAAGCACTTGCAAATTGCAATGTCAGATGCCCAAAGCTACAATGGTTTCAAAACCAAGTTCCATAGCTCTACTTATCAATTCTCACATGTAGATATATCCCCTTTTTCTTTCATTGTTTGAGTTAAGGGGGGAAGAACTAAAAAGGATTTTACTCTTACGCTACACAGGTGTAATGATAAATTTTTAAACGCATTCTTTATTGACTTGTGCGGAAAGATCCAATCTTTCGTTGTTGCAAGCTATTTAGCAATTAATAGAGCATCGGTGGGGACCACACACTATCACAATGCTGTGTCATCTGATGGGGCCTTTGGTGTGTGTGGATGGGTGGCATCCACCTCCCTTTCACACTTTCCTTCCTTAACCATTCAATCTTTGGTTATTCTCAATTGGTCATTATACTCACCCCACCTCACCTGTTGGTAGGCAGAAAAGTATTGCACAGTGGCAACTTAAGGGCTAAGGGTAGTTCCTCCGATCTCACGTTCTTGCCCACCAAGGCACCAACACACTAAGGACATGTTTACTTCATTTTTTACTAAACAGTGTTTAATAAAACATGGGTTAGTAAGCTATTGCTTACTAAGAGATCCTTATTAAGGATGTGTTTACTTTATTTGGCTTAGAATATGTGTTGTATACAAAATGTATAGAATAACCTTAACTTCTACCTATGCCATCGACTTGTTTATCTGGCCAGAAGCCCTCATCTCATTGACGAAGAAATGTCCACGAAGCAAAAACAGGGCCTTGATTGAGGCATTGGAGAAGTTGGTTGGTCTTGTGTCAAAGAAATTCTGGAGGAGAACGAATTGAATTTCAGCAGAAACGTAGATCAATGGAGGCTACGAAATAAGAGCAGGAGGGTAAATATAATCGCCGGTTAAATAAAACATGGGGGAGGGAGGCGTTTAACAAGTGCCGATTAAATGGCCAAATCGGTTAGTAAGCGTGCATTTACCCGGTAAGGAATGTTTACTTCAGGCTTCTTAATATCCTAACTGTGAATTAAACGGTAAATAAACACCTCCTAAGTGAATATATTTAGTTAAACAAGGGCGCATTCTTTTTTGACAAAAATACCATTTAGTGGGTCAGGGAGCTACCAGCCTCTATTGTCTTCAAGGGCGATTCATGTCCCTTTTAGGATCACATAAAAAGTCCAAAGGGCAATGAAGATGTGTAGGAGATTGCTTCATCAACTTGGATGACAGTGGGATAAAGTTGTAGAAATAGGGCTGTGACTAGGACCTTTTGAGTGAGGAAAAATGTTTTTATTTTATTGTTTGGGTGGAACAGAAAGTGATTTTACCAAGGGTAAAGATAAAAAAATAGTGAATTGCCAAAGATAGGGTATATGTGTGGAACTGGCCCCAGTTGCACCTTTACATTTTTTCCCCAAAGGTTGCAGGCAAGTATGACTTTACTAGTTACTACTACTGCACAAGTTTTTCTAGTCTGATGAAAACCCCAAATTTGGGATACTCCTTAGGGCAGAAGATATTAGGACTTGATTATTACTCTTAGTTATGGTACCTGGGGTGTGACAGCTATTATGCATTTATGTGGTCATGGGAAGGACTCAAAATAGGTAAACAAGAAGGTACCCGCACGAGTAACTCAGTTAGTCCAGTGGTGGAAAATTTGAAACAATGATCAAGGATCGAAACGTGCAGCGCCCGTGTGGAAGTTATAGCTCCTGCGTGTTTGGCTGGACCTTTGGTGCGCACGGGTATAAGGCCTACCACCATTGGATCGATTGAGTCGTCGTGACTTACTCCACCACCATTCTGTCGGGTCGGGATGTGAGGGCTCCTGGGGTGGGAGAGATTCCACCTTTTGGAACAACAAGGTAAACATGAGTCGGAGAAGTCTGTAAATAATGGGCCCTACGTGTCAAATGTCACAATAAACCCATCCCGATGACTATCGTATCAATGTTGATGATGGACCTGAGTTTATTTCCAAATTTTGTACTCCCTCCGTTCCTATTATATCTTCCAACTTTCTTTTTTCATCCGTTCCAGTTAAACTTCTACTTTCTCTTTTTGGTAAAGAATTTGTGGTTCACAACATTTCTTACACATTTCTCTTTCCTCTGCACAACTCTCCACCACATAATACCTACTTTTCTTAAATTGTGTGACAATGGGAAATGGAAGATAAAATGGGAACGGAGGGAGTAGTATGTAGTTATGTACGTATTTAAAATGTGTTAGACCCACTCCTTAATTAGTTCTCTGAAGGGCAATATATGATATTAGTTGGTATACGAATTGGCCGGTGGAGTCAATTATGCTCTTAATACATTTTCGTTGGAATTGACGAAATCTCAGGGGCTCCACTTACTAGTTAGTGCAGTATAATACTCGTATACTTTTCATCCACCCAAAATAAGCAAGAAGAATATATAGCGGATGTCTGCAATGAGTCTCTTTCTGCAAGTGTGTTGATGAATGTTTCTCTTATTTTCAAAATGAACCACATTTTTATGACTTTTTGAAAGAATCACAAATGATCTACCTGACTACCTCCATCCCCTTAACATACTATTGATATTAACAAAGTGTAAAAATGTGATTGATATTAAATTGATAGTGTGAACAACGGCGGAACCAGACAATAATTTGAAGGGTGCTCTTATATTTTTTTTGAAAAACAATTTTTTATTAGGTTAAAATAAAAATGAGTGAAAAATAATTATTAATACATATAGAGTGAGGTTCTAATAAAAAGAGTTATTCCCGTGAAAAATGAGAACGGCCGCATTTTTTACTCGTTTTGGTACACTAGTAAATATTTATTTTACACTTTTTCACAATGAGAGAAAATTTTGATTTATTTATTAAATTGTCACCAAGTTTTTGATAAAATATAGTGCATTGTTGACTGATTTTGACTCATCGGATCTCAAGTTAAATACACAAGATTTATTCTCGATCAATTTTAATGATAAGAACTCTTTTTATTTGATCTGAAACTTATATATATGTATATGTAGTGTGTTTCAAATAAAAATGCTATTATACTAAACAAAAGGTAAATACTTATATTAACTTAAAGTAGTTTTAGAATTATTCTTGACATTAAATGACAACGTCCGTATATGTCATTATTAGAAGAAGAAATGATTAAAGTTAATTTGAATTGAAGAAATGAGAATTTAAAATAAAAGATATAGAAATTCAAAAAGTGTGATTTAAACAACATTGCATCCTAGAGTAATTTAATTGAACATAAATAATTACCAAATGGGCTAAAGTCTAAAGAAGCAATAATGGAGAAAGCAAAAACAAATTGTTGCTCTTGAGAATTGAACCCAGGCCATTTAGATAGACAGAGCTCTCCCAACCTCCACCCTACCATTTGAACTATCACAACTCATACGTTCAAATAGCGAATCCACTTTAATATATGAATACTTTCTGAACCGGGGCTGAGATATATACATATATATATATACAGAACCACCGCCGGAGAAGGGGGAGCGCCAGCACCGGCTCGCCCCCCTAGTTCCGCCAGTGAGTGTGAATAAAGTAAGAATTAATTGTAACCATCCAATTATTATCAAATAGGGAGAACTATCAATAAGCTCTCAAACTTTCACAAAAAAGCAAATAAGCCCTTTAATGGGAGTCTCTATTCGGCTGTCGCCATTTGGGGCGGTTTTCGGTGTAATTTTTTGATGAAAGTTTTTGAGTATCTTCTTCATTAAGTCTGATTTATTCATACCAAATTTCAGCTAAAAATTCAATCGGGAAGGCAGTCAAATGAATTTTTGAAGATAACTGCGCAGTTAGACAGCACAATATATTTCAGAAAATCATTTGACTGCCTTCTCGATTGAATTTGTAACTGAAATTTGGTATGGGTAAATCTTCGGGTCCTTCTGCTTATCAAAATTATACCGTATAATGGCATCTTGATTTTCCATCTTAAGTTCTTAAGTATAAACTACTTAAAATATGACCGTTGGACCCGGACCCGGGCCCGGGCCCGACCCGGCCGGGTCGGGTCGCATTTTTCCGGAACCGTGCCCGCCCCGCCCATTCCCACCGGTTCGGGTCTACACCCGGTCCCGGACCGCCCGACCGGGCCGGTCCTGGGCCCGCACATTACCGGACCGGGCCGGGTCACGGGTCGGGTGGCCCGAACCGAATCCACCCCTAGGTAAATTAGAGAAGAAGATGCTCAAAAAATTTCATCAAAAAATTCCACCGGAAAGGCGGAAACCCCCCAAATGGTGACAACCGGACAAAACCTCATGTAAAAGGGTTTATTTGCACTTTTTATGAAAGTTCGAGGGCTTATTTGATAGTCCTCCCTATCAAATATGGTACTCGTATGAGACAAATTTAACTGAATGAACGAAAAACGTAAAATGGAACAAAAATAGGAGGCCAAGGAGGTATCAACTATCACTCAAACATATGATAATACGTACTTGTGATATACTACCTCCGTCCCGCTATGATTGTCTTATTTTACCTTATCAGTTCGTCCCACTAAGATTGTCCCATACCAAATTTGGTAAAGTTTGTGTGACTCTAAATCATTCTTACATTATTTTACTTTATCAATTCAATATCAACCACATAAACCACTTTTTATTAATTTGTGTGACACTCCCTCTTGTCCCATTGTTAGCGGGACGGAGAGAGTAATTCTTAATAATGTTAACTATGTTAATTTACAACAAAGATGATATGAATCTTTTTCTCATCATAAATTCAGTTTCTGTCGATTTAAATGACTGAGTTTTTAGACAGAAAGTACCTCCATGACAAATTATATTATACAATCGGCTATACCTTGGGAATGGTACATTCGGGTGTTTTGAAATTATTTTGAACTTTGAGGTTGAACGAAAAGCTTTCCCCCTCTTTCCCTAATTCCATTTTTGACGTACGCTCCAACACTTTATCTATGACTTTCACCATCAACATCACCATGATGAGCAAACTTCTTCAATTGATGCATATCGACAACTCGCTGCTCACATCGAGGTGGCTCGCCGCTCGCACTCATACGTAGGCGTTGTTCGCACTTAGACAACCAAACACTCATTCCGCACCAGACGCTCGTTCCGCACGAGTTGACTCCTCCCAGCCGATGAAATTCATGTTGCCACCGCATGTCAGGTTGGAGCTCACGACGGCCAGATTAGAGCTTGCTCACATAGTCTCATTGTTTATTAGTAAAGAACATGATACTCAATGAAGATGTTTTTATGCTCAATGCAAAGTTCCAATGCTCAATGAAGATGTTG